AAATTTTCTAGATCTAGATTTAGATCTAGATCTAGATTCTAGATCTAGTCTAGTTATACGTTCAAGATGAATCTCTCTCTCTCTCTCTCTCTCTCTCTCTCTCTCCCTCTCTCTCTCATCATCTCTCTTGTACACTGTATAAAATATATTCATTCCACCTAGAAATATAGCTAGAATCCTGGCCTAGGCCTACATCTAGATTCTAGATCTAGATCTAGATTTAGATCTAGGCTGAGGACGAGAGAACCGGACAAGGACTGATGAAATCTGATAGGCCTAGTTTTCTTTGTCATATCTCGCACCCTACAGAGCCGGACGGGAGTTGGGTGGCAACAGCTGTTGATGCTCAACCATCAGTGATGACAATGATGGTGTACTCAATTCAGAATCTAGAGATCTAGTTTTTGGCCTTTACTCTAGATCTAAATCTATATCTAGATTTCTCACTCACACCACCCTGACCATCTTCATCGCTCAGGGCTCACAAAGATGGGGGTAACATCTACCCTCAAACTGCACACTACTCCCCTTCCTCGCCCAGCAGCATGGTGTTAAGTTTAGAGCCGGTGGAACCAAACTTGCAAGTTTTGTTTCAAATCTGGACTGAGCGGGCAGAGTGTTTTCCGTCTTAGACAGGTAAAATCCTCGGAAGGGAGAGGATTTTTCTTTTTGTTTCCGCGTTGAAAAGGTTTCCGTTTTATACAGGTAGTTAAAGAGGAATATATCAAGGGGGGAGTTGGGAGATTCCGTTTAGACAGGTTTCTGTTTGACACAGGTTTCCGTTAAGGCAGGTTCGACTGTACTTATTATATAAGATGTAAAGGAGGCTTACTTTAAATCAGTGCTTTTTCTTTTTATAGGTAACAGAAGAGTGAATGGTTTGAGTAAAGAGAAGCACATCAATACAATAATAGTCATGATGTTGTACATAGGGAAGAAAACAAGAGAGATCAAGCAGACAGAACAACAGAGGTAAAGAAGATAAATAGGACCTACAAGTAGCACCCTCAAACCACCCACTGAAAGACTGAGGTAGGTCTACTCTATAAAACTTCTCCCCACATGGGAATCAAACTCATATCTTTGCGTACGGCAGAAAAGTAACTATCTGCTGCCCCACAGATGCTGGAAGGATGAGCGCAAATATGATATTCCTGCTTTATAAGGTACTAAAACTAAAGTGAAAAATGGTTAAGGAAAAAAGCAGTCAGAGCTTAGTCTTTTTGGTTGCTCTACTATGTATCTTAGTAGAAAAGTAAAGGCGGCTCGGAAAGGAACTAGCCACCCTACCACAAAATGTCAAACTCCCAGGAAGTTGTCTCACTAACAAGGCAATCCCCAATGTCCGTCAGATGCAGGAACAACTTTACTTTTACTGTGTATCGTATATGTTCTGATGTTTTTATGATTAGGTGCTACCAGTTGATTCAGCGGGCCATGGATTGAAAATATTTGACGAAAAAAGATTCAAGTTCAAGAACCCCCAAAGGTTAGCTCTAGATATTTTTTTTCTTTTCTTTCTTTTTATACCATGTTACTATTAGCTATTTGCAAAATTTTAAGTGTATATGACAAACTGTCAAAACAGAAAGATATCCACAGACTGCCATTTTATGTGCATGACAAACAATCCCATCCATGCCTGATGTGCAGGTGAAGTAATTGGTTTTTTAAACAAATTTTCAGACAATCAAGTTAGGGTACTATGAATGTTACTTCCATAGTTTTTTCGATGAAAAATTGTCAAGAGAGCAAGACTACATGCCATTTATGAAAAAGGACAACCTCATCCATGCCTGATGTGTAGATAGAGTGGTTGTTTTTTTGTTTTTTTAAACAAATTTTCAGGCAATGAAGTTAATGAACTAGATCTACGTGTTTCTTCCATTTTTTGACGATTGAAGTCAAAGATTTTGTCAAACTTCAGGTATGTCTCACAGTAGACCAATGCTCTTTTTCATTCATTGAATAACTTTGTAACTCTGAGAAAAGTGGAATCTGGGTAATGTGGTATCTTTTTGTTCTGCTGCAGCAGATGGAAACTTGATTTGGCGAATACTGTAACTCCAACTTACGTACAGATATAACATTTCTGTTGTCTCTTTTTCTTTGCTTTCAGAAAAATTTCTTGTTGCTGGCAGAAACTATGCCGTCGTTAAAGATAGTTGGGTCTGGTCACATCGAAGTGGAAGCTAACCTGTCAAAATGTCAGAGTGGAGATAAGAACAAGTTGTTTGCTTATGGCGAGATCGTGTCTTTAAAGTATACTCATCCGGTGAGTCTTACTGGTTGAGGGATCTGCACCTTTTTAGACTGTGTACTCACTTGAGGGGAAAATACCCACACAGTGGTCCATTTTTCATTAATCTTGGAAATATTTATAGAGAATTCAGATGAAAAACTGTCCTCAATTGAGTCAATTCACTTCTATGCTTATCTTTTCGATGTTGTTCTAATGCTGAATTTAGTATTATTTGATATCTGATTTTAGATGATCTGAAAAGGGTTTCAAATCATTGGACCTAATCTGCACTAGAATGGATATGGAAGAACACTACACCTTTCTTTAAGAATTGTCATTTGCGTATGCCTTGTGCAGGAGGGGGGGGGGGGGGGGGGGGGGGGGCGCTGTTTTAATCCTATCCTAGATCTGAGACCAATTTTTTAAAGACATGATTAACAGTTTTTATGATCTGTTTTTCATCTTCACCTCGTGTACTGCAAATGCAGTGGTACATTTTTGCCTTTTCCTTCTTGCAGTTCAGATTTTTGGCTCCTGAAAACTGCACTGGAAGCCCTTGTCGATGGATTTACCCTGTGACCTTTGGTGGCGGCCTTGTAGGAGGCGACAAAGTCACAGCTCAGGTCAAGGTTGGAGCTGGCTGTGCTGTAGTCGTAAGCAGTCAAGAATCAACAAAAGTAAGGAAAAGTTTTGACTGCAGTTTAATTTGGCTGGAAATAGTTTATTTTTGTTGTAGTGAGGCCATACTAAGATTCCCTTTGAATTTAGCTTGTTTAAATGTGAACTACTCCTGATAAATTTACTACAATTAAGCTAGTTATAAAGTGAAATTGCTTTTATTCGATTAATTTCAATTGAGACGTACCTGAAGTCATTTTAGCCTTTTCTTAGAGAGACCAGTATAATACAATGGAACTTGGATTCAACAAAGTCTTCAGGCCAGGCCTTTAATTTAGTTGAATCTGTGTATTCGTTATTGCAAATATGAGGTTTTTGTGTAGAAAATTACAAGCAAATTATGTACAATGTATTGAACTTTCTCTGTCAAAAGTTGTTTGGTTTCAAATGAGATGCATTTTTGTTTCTTTGTTACCAAAGAAATGCTTGAAAATTCCAGGAAAATGCACTGAACTCTACCAAGCACACATTGTTCAAAAGGGCCGATTTATTCAGATGCATGCCTGTGTCATCTATCATCTATAACTTATAATGCACAGTTTGCTGAACAAATTATTTTGCTGTGTAGAGCCTAGCATAGGGCGACGTTTGATTCCATAGTCCAGGGCACAATTCATCACGTAGATCTATGTCAAGACTAGCTTATCATTGTAATATTGATGAGTAGCCGAGGGAAAAGATAGCTGTCGTGTTTGTATCTCTTCTGATGCTCCACGCCCCTCCACGACACACGCATGCGCAGTCACACAAGTGCGTGATGCCCGTCCCACCTCGACATACGCTAAGACATTTGTGCTTGCTAACAAAGTGTGTTGGTATGAAAGGAGGCTGCTGATTTCTCGCAATAAAGGAGTTCACCCTACAAGTGACTTCGTTGAATCCAAGCTAAAAGCTTGCTCATTTATGTGTTCATTGAATCTGAGTGATTTTTATTGATTTTTAAGACTTAAAAAAAGAAAAAGGGAAATCCAGCTCCTTTCATTGAATCCGAGTTTTCATTGAATCCAAGTTCGTTGAAACTGAGTTCCACTGTATAGAGTGTGCTAAAACTGTAACAAAAATAACCATTTTAAACGTATAGATCAACCTACTTTAAACAATGACCTAAATGAATATTTTGTCTTGCACATTATGATGCTCCCTAGGTGTACCATTGTCAAGAAAGCGGTGAGACCTCGCAGAGCCTTCATTACTCTGTGGGAAATGAAAGCCTTCTGTGTGTACTGAGTGACCCTGTGGTGTGCTACAAAGGTGCCAACTTCAGACAGGCGCAGGTTGGTCCTTTATGTTTGCCCAAAGTTTAATAAGAGTATGCTAATTTTTATATCAGTTTAACACTCTGTCTTTTGGCTTACAATAACTTATTTTTATTTGACTGGCATCACAATGTGCCATTTATGCATTAAATGATCTAAGAGACAATTTTTTATTTGTGGGAAGGGGGAAATTATCGATCGCTGGCTATAGGTTTAGAGTAGAACTGAGGTGTGGTGTATATTTGAGCATCATGTCTGAAAACCTTATGTCAGAAATACTCCCCTAGTGTTTGTGAAGTCTGAATGGTGTATTTGTATTTTATACATGTGTATGTGCTTGGACAAAGGTGCCAGTTGTTGGCAAAGCTATTTTTGAGCAACGAAATGAAAAGGCAAAAAAGTTATACCTTGTCAACAATTTAGTAAGATCAGAAAACTCACATTTAACCATTTCTTAATAACATATTGAAACGACTTTATAATATTTTAAGTCTAAATATTTTTTATTAGGTATTTTTGCAACATGTACTTCACCAAAGGTTAAAAATGCACGAGAAATTGGGGTTTTCTCCAAACTTTGTATTTACACTCTGTGTTACAAATTGTAGCATATCTTTTAGATTACTCAAGATACTTGAACATTTTTTTAAAATCAGTGTGTTCAGCTTTGGATTTGCAACAAGAATAAGAATATCCGAAATTTCCAACAGCTCGGACCTTTCTTCAGGCACACACTTATATATATATGTCATATTGTTTAATGTTCTTGTGAAAACACAGTGGAAATTGTCCAAGGCAGACACCAGTGGTAGGAAAAAACGAAGGGTGAAGTGGCAATTGGGAAGTGGTTGTTTATACACGTGATTGTCTTTGACAGATTACCTCAGTAGCTGGTTCGACTGTACACGTATTGTTTAATTTTTCTCGTGGATTATTTTAACTCTAAATTGGCCAGGGGTGTAATGAAATGATTTTTTTCTGCTTTTCCTTTCTTTAAATGGTTGTTTAGAGGTGTAAAAAAATTACAATTATATGTTTCTGCAACAGAACATTTAGTTGTGCTGGAGCCCAGAGAGAAGCCAGCAAGCTGTGCATGTATCCATAAGTGGAAATGAAGCTTTTAAATGCTCAAAATGTGGCAAACTCTTCTCTGACAGAATTGGTCTCCTTGGCCATAGAAGGATCTGCAAATCATCTTTATCTTTATTAACTTCTATTTCTCTTCAAGAAAAATTAACCTTTGCAAATAATCTGGTCATAGTCAGACATTGATGGACAAACTGCTATTATTATCATTATTAGATCTTCCACATTAGACTGTGTCTGTCAGTGGGTTGGTACTTAAAGAGAAGGCAAAGAAACAGAAATCTGAGAAAACTAGAGAACAATGTCTTAACTGTTTGCCATTCTTTCATGGAAAGCTTGATTTTTACATGTTTTTTCTTACAATCACACTGAGTGAAGGTGAACTGAGTATGGATATGAATGGTCAATGGGATGTCTCTTTTTGCCAAAGGTTCAGTTCCTTGTGTGCGATTTGTTTTAAAACTGTCTTCTGAAAATGTGGGAACATAATGTTTTTAAAGTAGTCATCCTTCACTGCGTGATAAATAAAACATGTTTGGAAGAGATGTAAAGTCAAAATTGTCTAGATGGTCACTCATTACCGAAAAATAAATGGTTGTCTTGGACAGTGTCATCATTATAATCGAGAAAAAAAAAACATAGGGGGAGGGAATTGGATGGAGTGTGAAGTCGTTGTTTTTACTGGTGATTGCCTTGGACAGGTGGTTGTTAAAGCAGGTTTGACTGTACCTAAAAGTAATGCACGTTAGAAAGCCTTGTGTGATTCAAATTTCATAGGTTTACTTGTTCTTTCTTTGTTTCTGCAGGTTGTTGATTTGTGTGCCGCTTCAAACTTGGTGTTCCTAGATTGGATGCTGAGTGGGCGGACTGCACTAGAAGAGCACTGGGCTTTTCAGAGGTGAGTCATCTGTTCATCGGGGGTATAGAAAGAGAATTTTATTTATCACGTGCAGCATAGCGACCCACACTAAAATACTTTTGTGGAGTTCATTGAATAATCAGGGGACTTAACTAGCAAAACTTGTTAAATTGTCCCACTTATAGGTCTCAACAAGAGTAGGATGTGTCCTTAGCCTCGATTGATATTTCTCCTGCTCGGAGAAAGAAAATGTTTCCAGGCTGTGCAGATGTACTGAGATTGCCTGACGTATTTAGCAAACTGACAAAAAAATGCATACATCATTTGTCTACTCATTGGGTTGACAGGTAGGGAATTATCCTTTCTTGAGAAATCAGGTTGTCATTTCGAATAGAATCCAAAGTGGACCCACGAAAAATCTTCCTTCAAAATAAAACACAATTTCCTTTTATTCTTGAATAGTTACTTATGTTGGAAGCTATATATACCCAATATGAAGGAACTCCCTTGTTCTGGGATTTTGTTTGTAAACGAAACACAGTGGCATTTGATGGATGGACACGGAAAGAAAGTGATTAATATCAAAGTAGTACAGTATAACACGGATAGCTCAAATTTGTTGGGACCGGCCTTGGTAGTTCCAAAGATCCGTAGTTCCAGGGATGTCTTACAAAGATAAAGAAGAAGAAAAAATGGGACCACAGGCACTGTTCGCTGGATGCGTGATTTCGAGTCTTCTGTGTTTGACCTATCCGTGTTAAACTGTATTTACAAATTGGCCGATTCAGTGACAGTTTGATATATCAGAAGGTATGCATGTGTTGTCACCACTATGGAACAGACAGCCCAAGCAAAGAGAAGCAGTGCAAAAATAAGAAAAAGGACTCTTTGGGATTATTTGCTTAAAAGAAGTACCATTAATGTATGGTATGTACCCACCTACAATACATGTAATTTTCCCCCCAAATATGAGGTCCGAAACCATACCTCTGTATTAGAAGTGTGACAATGGAGTCTTGCTTGGATTACTTGCCACTTCAGTCTCACAGATTAAATCAGTTTCAATACAACAGCCAATAGTTGTTAAAGGTAAGGCACTATATTTGATGTCAGACTAGTACTTGATATCATGCAGATTAAGCCCCCTCCAGCTTGTCTGAAGTTCACTCTGTATTATACTTGTGACTTACATAAATGGGCCAATTTTTGAGTCAAAGTATACCTTCGTATTAAAAGCCGAGTCATGGAGTATATGCTATTTATACTTACTTTACTTTACTTTTTTCTTCCGCTTGTACCCTGGGGTGTCGCGGGGAGACACAGGTGTCTGTCTGCAGCAAGTCATGTGGCCTGTAGGAGGGACATCCCATGATTTATTCTGGAGAAAATTTTGATTTTTAAAAAGATCTTTGTAACAGTGTCAAGTTTTGTGGCAGGGGCAGTGGTAGGAAATTCCATATCATGAGACGAACATTCTGCTGAGTTATAGGAATAAGTTGAACTCCTCTGGCCTTTGGTTAGATTTCCTCTTTCCTGTTAACACTTTTTAAAAATTGTTTGTGAGGTGTATCAATTTAACTGATTCCCTCCGGAGCCATTTCAGGCCCTGGACGCAAGCCCAGCAAGATATTGTCTATTCACGGAGAGGTGGCATGATAATTGGCCCTGTTACTGATAAACGACTGAAGTTACATATACAAAACTTATATCAAATTGTTGGAAATTGAACAGACTTTCCAAATATGTACCTATTGTGCTTGTCATAGTGTACTGCATGTGAATTTAGGAGGAGGAAAGTGAGTGAGTGATTGTGTTATTGTGATTTTGAAAAAAAAAAAAATTGACTTACCCCACTCTGCTGTCTTTGTTTGTTGTTAGATATCCATGAATTTCTCCAGCAACATAGGTAATCCAATTATATAAGCCCATGCAAAATTTGAAGAGTATAGGTTCACAAGTAAATGAGTTATAGCATTTCACATATGGTCACTTGACGATAACATAAACGAATCCATCGACACAGAAAATGACACTGAACACTTATTATTTGGAAAACAAAAAAAACATGTCCTTTCACCCCTCTCCTTTGTACACATATCTACACATCACTCTTTGTTGTATATAATTTTACATATTTTGAGTATGGTATCACTCAAAACAGTCCTTTGGGTGAAGATGGGGCTTATGTGAGCAACCGGTACAGAAGAAATTTGTGCGCTTGCGAGCCCCAGGCCTGCTGCATACTACACAATTCCTGTCTGATGCTGTGTGGCTAATATGGTGCCTGGCCCCCTGGAACCTTTCAACCAGTGTGTTTGGAGGTGCAGTGGTGTTTGACTCTCTCTGTTGTATCATTTCCGCTGCCTGGTTGACTAGTTGAGGGATCAGCATCTTTTTGAAGGTCACGAGACTGACACGTCGTTGGTGGGTCTTATTATACAGAACCAAGGCGTTCAGCTGAACAAGTTCAACTGTCCAATGGCACAGCTTTTTCCACCATTTGTACGTTTTCCTTTCAAAAACACCGTAATATCCAGCATTTTGGTTGACGCGGTCACATCCATTCATGTTGTCGTTGTAAGAATGGATGACCGAGGGTTTGTTGGCATGTCGTCCTCTGCTGGTTTGACGCTCCTCCATATGAGCAGTTGCATGAGTGGAGACAATGACGACAGGCTTCTTAGCCTTTTTATCTTTCCATGCAACACAGGTGATGCTGCTGTCATGGTTGAAAAACCACTTTCTTTCTTGATCCTGAAGACGAAGTGTTTTCAGGGTGGGCGGAAAACCTACCCCCTGGATGTTCAGCGTTCCGGTGAAGTAGATTCCTCTTGCTGACAAGTACTGTATCAGCTTTTGCGAGGTGTAGTACCTATCAGCAAAGACATGATGACCACGGGTGGTAAGAGGGCGAAGTAGGTACTCAAATACCTTGAAGACTTGAGGGTTTCCGTTGTCCAGGTCAACGCTGAAACTAGTTTCTGCTCCAAAGTAAACTAGCAGATTTACCACATATCCTGTCCTGCTGTCCACCAACCCAAAAACTTTGACATGATATTTCTTGGGTTTTGAAGGATTGTACATTTTGTACCTCCAACGGCCCGTCCATCCCGCCACCATTTCATCCAAAGCGAGATTTTGGCTTGGATAGAAAGCGCTACTGAAGTTATCCAGGATCTTGTTGATAAAGGGCTCGATCTTCTCTTTGCCTTCCGCATGCGGGTCATCTGAGCAGTGGAGCATTGTATGCCAAATTGCTTCAAAGCGATCCCTGGGAAAGAGCTGATGGTACCAAGAGCAATAATCTGGGGCATTGGTAGACCAGTAATCACGAATGGCTGGCCTTTTGTTCAATCCCATCTGAATCGTAACAGCGAGAAATTTCAGCAACTCATAATCAGTGAGCGGTGTCCAGTTTGCAAAGACAGATCTTTTCTTGGGGGGATTGTTGATAGCAACTCTTGTGGTTGCATATTCTTTGACCGAAGAAATGAGGTTGTCCATGACTTGCTTCGTAAACAGAACATTGAAGCTGTCAAGAGGTGTAGACTCCTTGGTGAGCGGAACGCGAGAACACCTGGTCCCTAATGTGGTGCGAATCTGAAAGCTTCCACAGGGACATTGGAGGCTTCATTGATATCAACCCAGGCTGCAGGGCCTGCTTCTTCCTCTTGCCTTGGTCTTTTCCTGGGTCTAGATCTAGATGCAGTAGTGGGTGCAACAAACTGTGTAGGCCCATCCATTGTAGTGCTAGAATCAGCTAGCTCACTCTCACCAACAGTAGAATTACAACTAGTACTAGCAGGTTCACTGTCAGTGTCACTACTTTGCTCATACACATCACTTGCATCATCATTATCATTCCATCCTATGCTATCATCACTGTTGTAGTCATTTTACTCTTGTTCAATCTATTCCAAGACTGCAACAGCTGTAAGACGACGATTGCGAGACATCACACTTGTCAGGCTTTTAGCTCTATAGATCTAATCAAGACTAATCAGCTGTTTACTTTCACCACATCGAAACAAACCTCAAAATTGGCTTCAAAATCAAAAGCAGGACCTTTTATTGGCCCCAGTTCGACAACAAACGGAAGTGACCTTTAGTTAATGTTGGATTGGTCACTGAAAACGTGGTTTTGATAAAAGGGATAGGATTTTATTGGTCTAATTCTCGACAGCCGCTGTCAGCGGCACGCCGTCGTCAACGGAAAATCCCCGAGCCGCTAAACAGCTGCTCGTCGGAGGGAATCAGTTAAGGAAGAGAAATATTGGATGTTATTTGTTGATGAGTTGGCTTGTCTTGTATGTGTAAATTTTTGTACAAGAGAGTGAAGGTCTTTTTAATGGAAGCACTTAAAAGCTAGTCATAAATGTGTGTAATGGATAGCTACTGAGCATGATATGTTTTTCTTTCTGCTTCCATATATACATGTACCATATAAAATGGTTTTGCAAAGCCCACAGCACTTTAAAAAAGCGAGTTGATTTACCTATATTGTTCTGTATCTTCAGGTATTTCAATAAGATTGAGGTACAGATGAAAGGTGAGGTGGTACTGAGGGAATGCTGCCACCTTGAGGACTCTCCACTCCAGACTAAGTGCAAAACTTTGAAAGACTTTCAAGTGAGTCGGTTTTGTTATAGATGTGACCTATGACCTCCTCCTTTCCTCTCAACCTCTCAATTTATTGAAAATACTTTTTGAAAAAATGAAGCATTGTTGAGGTACTCAAGCAGATCAGAAAAGCCTCACTGTTTAAAAAACCCTGTGTGACAAGGAGTATATTCCCATCAATGAGTATGCTTGTTCTTGGCAGACTTTACACTTTGACTTCCATGCAAGCTTCTTAGTAAAGAACCCTATGATTTGAATCCAATATAAGGGTGAGCTGAGGGTGAGGATTTTCTCAGACAGTGTTGTGGGTAAATACACCTCAAACAGGATAAGTGCAGAACACGCTGCCCGATACATTGATTGAAATTCGGTTTGGTTGGACTGATTGATAAGCGAACGTTATTGAAAGTGTGTACTGTACTTTGTTGACGTAAATGTTTTTTATTTTGTTGTGCTCCATAATAAAATTTCTTCATTTTTTGGATTTAATAGAAACGAGAAAGATTAGGAAAAGGGAAGGGGAGAAATTACTGTGTTGTCTCCATTATAGGGAGACGACCAGTCAACTTTTTTCTGCTTTTTGAGGAAAGACATTTTGTTTTTGTTTTGAATATATTCTTGTTAAATGAAAGGGATTAGCTATTTTTCTGATGATATATTCTTACTCTTTTCTTTGTCTTGATAGTTATGCAATGCTTAAGGTTATATCCAAGTTAAAAATACCCCTATCTGTGTTAAACGTACCCCAGAGATGAGCAGTCCAACCATGCTGTGACAACTTTTTTCATGTTCATTTGTCACTGCTAGCATAAATTTTGTTATAGGTAGCCAACTTTTCCTCCGACTTCCAAAACAGCTCTGAGTCTTTATTCTCCAGTTGAGAATCGCTGGCAAAGACCTCTACTCTACACCCAGTTAAAGGGCTTGTGCTTAGCTTGTGTCTGAATGCAATTAAACTTCTTACCTCGGACTTTTACACTCTTTCTTTCCAGGTATGTGGGACCTGCATCGTCCTGGGTGATTATGTCTCATTTCTGTCCAGGAGCTTGCAAAACAAATATGGAAGGAAAAAAGATATTGGTGAGAAATATGATTGTGTTTGTCAGCTTCATTCATCTACATTTAGGAGTGGTTTCAAGGTTCTCTGTCCACTTGGCTGGGTTCTGTCTGAGATGGATGTTAAATTTGGAGGTGCTTTGATGAGTTGGCTTGTCTTGTATGTGTAAATGTTTACCTTCTTGTGTTTTGATTTAGCATCATTCATTCATAAAATACACCATCTGGTACGGGAAATTTATGTAACACTTTTGTGACTGAGATTTAACACTTATGTGGTTATTAATTTCACATATGGGTGCTTATGTACATGTGTATCTTTATGTTTGGATGTTGGTGTGTGAGAGAGAGAAAGCAAAAACTTGAGTGTGTGGGAGCTGTATTATTTTCCGGATCTCGATACAGTCTAGCATGCATATAGTGAAATCGGAAGGGCAAGGTAATCTTTTTTTTCTTTATGTGCGAAGTTCTCTATGCTTGTGTTTTAAATACAAAAAATATATACATGTATAAAATAAAATTTGGAAGCTAAACGTTTTTTGCTGTGTATATTATTATGTTTCACAGTGTGCATGTTCACTTCATGCGTGCTAGACTAATTTGTGCATACTTGAGAGCCAATTTTTTCAAACCAAGTCACTTGCACTATTGTTCTGGTGTTATTCATCCTGTACTTCACACTGCTACCATGATGTGGCACATTATCTCCCAGATGAGAGCACTACTAGAATGACTTTGGCAAAAACTAATTAATACGCAGAATTTTAATGTGATGAAAGTGTAGCTGAAAATTTGATTGCTCTGTGCTTTGATATTCCTCACCCTTGAAACTCCATGGAACTTTTTATTGTATCAAAAGTTTGTTATTTCCTAGAATCAAACAAATACTTTGTGAGGAAAGAGCAAATGAAAAGGAAGTTTGCTGAATTTCAAAACCCTCATTGTGATAAAGTAAACTTGCTATGAATGTTGCAGGACCGCAGTTTATTCAGTCGTTGGCTGAATGCTTGAAGTTTTGAGACTATAGTTATTCGAACACACAGACTTCACTTTGATGTCAAAGGTGCTTAATGAATGTTACTTGATTGGGTTTGTTTTTCTATTGACTTTAATACAGTTTAACAATTTCTTTTGAGCAGGTGACAAGCTAGATAAGGGACTGATTGTTAGTGTAAGCCAGGTCACATACACCGTGGAGGGGGAGACCATCAACGGCTGCTACCTACGATTTCTGGCACAGACCATGTCTCAGGTGAGATGTCATGGTAGACTAAAGTGCAGATGACCCTGTTCTGAATCTCAAATGAAGCATTGAATAATTATTGAAATTCGGTTGTTTGGGAAGAGTTTTCAAGGCTCTCGGTCACTTGGCTTGGTTCTGTCAGAGATGGATCTTAAATTTGGAGGTGCTTTGTCGTAAATCACCTTCCAGTGTTGAGGTAGCATAATTCATTCATATGTAATGTACCATCTGGTATGGGAAATTTTTTAACACTTTGTGACTTGTTCAATCCCTAGCTTAAAATAAAAAAGAAATACAGTATAACTTGAATAGCTCGAATTGGTCCGGACCAGTCTCAGTAGTTCGAGGGATATGTGGACAGTGTTACAGCACCGCCTGTGTCAGAGAAACAAGGGAAGCAACAAAGATTGGGTTGGAACAGAGATTTTTCTTTTCTCAGCCATTGTCCTAGATCAGATAGGTTAGATCTAGACTGCCTATTGACTTGAATTTGAAATTTGAGAGAATTTGAAATTGACAGATTGAGAATGAGAAACACGATGAGCAACGCTTTCAAGTTTGATCAGTAATGAGTCAACCGGTACCAAGACAGTTTAACTGCGCCAGTCAGCGTACCAATTGAACGGTGCCTTTTCAAATATTTCAAAACATAAACAATTTGACAAATTAGCATATCGCAACAGTAATCAACAACACGATGACGATGCAGCCCTACCCCGCCTCTTCCACCAAGTGCGCAGTCTTTGGCCAAGAGGGATGGGGCGGCCGATTGTGTGATGCATAACCCCTCCTCTTGCCCACTCCTCACATGCCTCGCAAGGCCTTTAGGATATAGGGACTTGGACACGCGTGTCAAGCAGCCCGCTATAAAAAGCACACCTACTTGCTTCTGTGGAGGGGGGGGGGGGTAATTTACCGACTTTGCCTTTTTCCTTTAAAAAAAAATTATTAGGCCTATTATTATTATGTCTCAAGTGCACCTCAAAAGACGTTGGCTTCAGACTATTCCTTGTTTGTGTTCGAGCTTCGCGTAATTTTCTTACAAAGATAAAGAAAAAAACCCAGGATTATTGGCACTGTTAGACGGATTCGTGATTTCGAGTAATCTGTATTGGACCTACTTCTTTCCTATCAAATATCTGTTGTCTTTATCTCTCCTCCTTCTTTTTTGTGTTTGTTACTCTCTTCTAACACTTCTAATCTCCGGCATTTGACCTATTTGTGTTGCAAGTGCCGTAAAACGGTTACTTAAAGACAAAAGGGAAATAATACCTCCTTGAATCACCTTCCTTAAAAGAAGCCAGTTTAACTTTACAGTATTACTCCTTCTTGTGAAAAAAAACCCAAGCTAATGAAACACCAGATGAAAGGAGCAAAGTTGATGAAAAGCGATAATTTTACTTTTGCAAAACTAGTCTCTTTCAATATTTGATTTCCCACTTTTTTCCAGGCGTCTACAGTGATCAAAGACATATGTGAGCCTCTGATCCCCATCCTAGGAGCAGATCCATTTGAGAGGAAACTTTGAAGGCCACAAAAGTTACACCATCCAGCTGAGTCAGAGACCCCTTGTCGACTGTTTATTGTAAGATTCCACCATGTGCCACTTTGAAAAGTGAAGCATGACACAGTCTTACACTGAGTTGTCTGTTTGCTTATTTAACACTTTGTAGTCACACAGCCAGTAGTACGAAATACCCCATCTGGTCACCCAGTCTGGAGAGTGACTGCAACAGACTTCTCGGGCCTGTCGCAGAACTTCTTCAAGTGGACAGAACGGATAATTTTCACGGTCGCGTTATTGCTGCAGGTGACTACAGAGTGTTAAGGAGGCTACTCTTGCCAGCTGTTCCAAAGACGTTATTGCATTAAGCTTTCACCTCTGATATTTTTCCAGTTATTCTTTAAGGGACATCTGATAATGGTTACTTTCTCATGCTTACAGTAGAAGTGAGTTCTGCAGTCAGAATTGCTTATCTTTGAAGGGTAAACTCTATCTAGCTTTATTCAAAGATGCTGAAATTTACAGGTCTCTAGAGAGTAGGAAAGAGTAGAAATTGAATCTTTTTCTCCTTCAGGTGTCAGGTCTGGAACAGACATTGACATTCATGGTACCTCACTCCTACCTTTCATTTTTTTGTTTGTCGCAAAGTTGTTCAGACCATCTGTATATTGTTGTTCCCTGTCTTCCTCTGCTTTTCCTTCCCTCTATCTTTCCACTCAGCAGCTTTTTCTCAAGTAAATTTGATCTGAATAAGATCAGAAATTTTATGACACTAATGTGGCACATTTAAAAAATGCAAATGGGTGTAAAAGCTATAAAAAGTGCTCTTAAGTGACTATTTTTATTTGCAGTATGGTGAATTCACTGATATAGCATTCTGTATTATACATAAGTGTTGTGCCATATGTAGTTTTATATTTAAATAGTGTGATGTATCCAAAGAGTATTTACCAGGGCCCTTGAATACAGATTGTCTCTTGCATGAAGATCTGTGGGAAAAATTCCTGCCTTTGAAAGTATCTCTTTTTGTCTGTAAATGCATAACACTGTTAAAGAAACAAAAGTGAAATGTCTTACACTCCAATAGAGTCATTGTGAACTGTGAACTGGCAGTGTCAACGTTCAATCTCTATAGTATAGAAATTTGCCTGCTTCAAACAAGAAAGAAAACCTTTTGGACTGAGGCTCTGGCCAGAACCAGTGGGAAAAATGACTTTTAATATAATGAAATGGAACTTTGTAAATAAGTTATTTGTATCAGCATTTTTAAAACTCATATTTTGTGCATGATATTCAATGTTTTACTCAGTTTTTATCATAAGTATGTGCAGTGTACTCTACTTTTATAAACAAGGGCTGAATATGAATTTTTATATGTCATTTATTCCAGACTGTGATTTTATTACCTGAATATAGCTAAGATCCATCCTTTGTTGTTACTGTTGTTGTTAATCTAGTAGCCTTTCGTAAGATGCATTCTTTTAAAGGAAGCAATAATTGATGTTGATTAACAATTCTGTAACTTATTTCAAAGAGTAACGATAGCAAAACTTTGGCTGCATGTATTTCCAGGTATAGCCTCTAAGAAATTGCTTATCATTTTCGTAGGGCCCAAATTAATAAATAGATAGCATTCTTTGACTTTGATAACTCAAGCTGCAATTTATTGTGGCTACAGGGAGACAACTTAACAGAAATTTGTATGCTGTATTACTAGCAAATTTTAATTGTTTTTTAAAGACTCTTGAAGGGTCTAAAATGCTCTCCAAGCTTCAGGAAATCTTGCTTTGGACAGTTTTTTAAGACATATTTTGTGTTTGCTCCTTAAGTGCGAGATTATAAAGTAATGATCTGGGCAGTATTACTTAATCTGCCCCCCCTCCCCCAGGATATATTTAACATAAGATGGAGGTTTCACTATGTGCATGATTGTGCACTTTACTGTACTGCCTCGTAAGCTGACAAAGTGCCTTTTTTAATTTTTGGCGCCAAATTTTGTTATTTGCTAGATCAAAAACCTGATCAGTTACCCTACTTGTGTGCAGAAAATCAAAGTGAAACTGTGACTATTTTTTTATAGATTAGAATTCAAATTTTGAAGGGCCACCTTTTTTCAATGGCTTCGCTGACAATAATAATAATAATAATTGCATTTATATAGCGCATATCCATGCTCAATGCGTTTTACAACTATTATTACCCCAACAGACCTTCTGACAACACTCAGAAACATTCTCGGCTTCCGTGGAAGCATACAGTTCAAGCTGCGGATTTCACGCGCTCAAACACTATCAAACTGACAAGATCATTCACTGTCTATAGCAGGGTACCCATTTCCATCTGAGTGAAGTGAGGAAAATTTGTGCAAAGTACCTTTCCCAAGGACACAACGTCGGGCCCCTGACGGGATTCGAACCCACGACCTTACGGTTGCGAGTCCGAGAGCCTAACCACAAAGCCTCTTTATCTCGAAATTGCTGTGAATAAAAAAAGGTGTTTTGTCAGCTGAAGGCAGCAGAGCTATTTCAGTCTTTACATTACTCTGAGAGTGATTGCTTTTTAGCCACAGGGACCATTACTTTCATGCTTTTTAAAAAATAAAGCTGACTGTCAAATATTTTTGAATGCTAATTTATGAAATAACAATAACAATGTGTCTTTGAAAGATTAATTTAACATGGTAAACCAAATAATTTTACATTTGGACTCCACCTCTTGGTGATTTTTTTATCAGGAAAAACTGTATTTAGAATTTGTTAATTTTGAGGTGTAAGCTGTGTGCTTATATCTTTGCATATGTTAGTGTACATGAGCCTTTGCCAATAGGTGGGGGTTTCTTCATAAACCTTACAAAATTCTTTCCTATTCCAGTAAAAATGGTGCTACAGCTTTGAAATTTATTTTGTGCTTAATATGTTTCAGCTATGGGAGCAGAGAAATAGCAGTCGACCCCTCAGAGGACATCTTACAAATATTTTTAGTTCTGAAATCAACGTATTTTTAGAATGCAAAACGTGACGCATCGAGTTCGTACTTGTTCTGTCGTCAAGTTGAACAAGAAAATAATTGCTGAGAAACTCGTCCTTCTACACTTTTACTACTCTATAACTACATTATTTATTGTGCTATATCGAGGATAATGATATCTGTAGCTGTTTTTTCTTTGTGAGCCTTCTAGATATTCATTTTCGAGCATAATCGTGTTGTCATTTCAGAAGGCTACTTCGATTCCCCGTGACTTCGTTTCTATCAGCCATTTTGGGGCCGTGGAACGAGCATAATATTGCTCACTGTTTACTCTCTGCCCTTACTGATTCCAAGGCTGTGATCCTGTGACCGTGCGTAATTTTGCAGTAATCGGAAATCCCACGACGCCTCATGCTCTGCTATCATTTGTTATACCTGAAAGAACCAATCCGGATGGAGGAACATGCATTGTTCCTGTCGATCCATTCAAAGCGTATTGTAGTGGGATGCAAGGTGGTGAGAATAACGTTGGATGAGACGAATTCAATTAAGTTTTCTTATGTCGTCATCAAATCTTAACCTGTTATGTTCGAAAAAAGCTTGTATGTCCGAAAAATGTTTCCTCCCGTTTAAGTAATGACTAACATCGCACTGCGTTCCAATGGTCAAGTAGCGGTAGATCTAGATGCGACCATGCATGCTTGGCTAGATGTCAACGAGAGGGGAAAATTTGATGTAAATTGATATGTTCCAAAATGACGACATTGGTTATGTTCGAAAGATATTTGGTATTTTGCATTGAGTTAAAGTAAAATGTGAATATTAAGTTGCTTTTTTTCCCCATAAGCATGCATTATGACAAACTGAATCTCTTGAATCTTTGTTTGCCAAAATTTTCAAAAAATGGATTAAGATATGAAAACAGAAAGTTTTTCATTTCTTTCGGACATAACTATGATGACACAAATGCAAACACAAATGGCATTCAGAATTTCTTTTTTCTGTAATCCTCACCATTTTATATGCTCTTCATGCTTATGTTTGAAAATTAAAACAATAAGAAAACTTGAAATAATTTTGCATGTTCAAATTCTAAAAAATGTGTCATCATAGTTATATCCGAAAGAATTTGACTTGATGTTATGTAACGCCAGTTACACAGCTTAGCATGCAGTCTGTAGGTCTGTAAATACATGTTTTTGTAGGAGGAGATCTACAGGAATCGACAAATTCGAGTAAAAACGAAATATTAATTACATTATCATCAACCCTCTGTGCTACATTTTAGGTACCCATCTATTGGCAAAAGCTCATTTGTGTGTGGGCCACTGTGTGTGTGCATGTGTATGCGAGGGTATGTGAGACTTGTGCATGTGTTAACATGTGTGTATAGATGAATGAGAGACTTGTGCATGTGTTAACATGTGTGTATAGATGAATGAGAGACTTGTGCATGTGTTAACATGTGTGTATAGATGAATGAGAATGCAAGAATGAATGAGAATGCAAGAATTCTAAGCTGGAATATCACTTGGGGATGACTGGTTTTGTTATTGATGCAAAGTACCTAAAGCCCAATTTGGGACAAGGTGCTACAGAAATCGACTGATCATTATTGTTCTTTTTATTCTTTTATTATTATTGATATTATTAATTATTATTATTAATATTGTTATTGGTCGCATGTTATATTACTCTGTAATACAACTTTACATGGATTGTCAATGCCGGTGAAATCTGAAGTATGAAAAAAAAGTGCAATTACTTTTAGCTCCAGACAAATCTTTTGTTAAGACGAATTTGTCTTGAATGAAATGTATGTTTTAAGGGATCACGTACGATTGATTTTGTTGAGTGGAATTAAATAAAAGAACAGCAGATGAGATTATTACACAGGAGTTATGGTGCAAAGGGAGGAAGCACAGTGTTGGCAAAGTGCATTTTTATTGTTGTGGACCAAAGTCAAATGTTCTTTAATATGCAGAAATAAACAGAACTTTGTAAACATGTTTCTTCTTTGTGGCGTCTTTTTGCTACATGTACTTTCAAGTATTTAAAGGCTGCATCTTGTAACCAAGGAACTCTCCTCTAAAAGAATGTAAGAAGTCCTTGTTCTGTACAAGTAATTGATAGCTACAGTCAAAATTATTCGAGATGACCACCCATTCATTGTTGAGGGAAAAAGTTAATGTCTTAGGCTGGTGGATGTCTTGAACAGTGTCATTATGATATAGGAAGAAATGCAAGGGGGAAAGTGGAAAGTAATTGTTTTTACAGGTGATTGTCTTAGACAGGTGGCCATTAGAACAGGTTTGACTGTACTTCAATTCTTCAAACATGTGGGAAAATTCTTGCTTTGTGCTAGAAATTGATCATTAGTCATTGCAATGCGTAAAGAAGTTAAATGGGACAATGGAAGTTTTAAATTCTTTTACTTGCAACCCCTACAGATCTCCACAAGACTATTTAGTTGAAAAACTTTCTGTTGGAGATTTTACCTGGATTGCGTTGAGTTTGAGTAAAGAGAAGTACATCAATTGAATAACAGTCATTTAGTAAATAGAAAGAGTAAGATAGTCAGCCAGACAGACAGAAATGAGAGAAAGATAAGGAGAAGGACCTGCCATTAGATCATCCACCCACCTGCCACGTTTGCTTAATTATATACAGCGCATCTTGTCCAAGAATCAAGCATATATATTTCCTTTCACTCAATTGGCAACTGGATAATCCTCATACTTCTAGGTTTGATTCCTCTAAAATATTTCTACCTTAAGTGTTTCTAGAGCTCTCTATCTCATCATACTGGTGACGGACTATAGTGATGAACACTTTATATCAACCTTGACTGTGTTGCAAGAGGCATAACACTCAACTTATACATTGTATAATGTACAAACGGAGATTTGTTTCATTTCAGGACTTAATACTTACTCTCTCCCTGTACTGTAGGTACATAAGGTAGAGAGCAGCCGACTCCATCCTTATCTGTCCCGGGCCACTTCCTCTAACCTTGGCACATCCAGGCCCTGGGTGATTGCCTTATCCTTGATCATGCTTCTATAAACGAAACGAAACAGTTCGTCTTCCTCTTCTTCTTTTTTCATTTGGTCTCCAGTACCATGTCTGAAGGGACAATGCTATGACTACTATTAACCTAATCTGTGCTGAATGTCATGTGGTTATTGCAAAGCAAACTCATTTATAATATATATGAGGCGAGCTGACAAAATGAGTTACTTCTCGCAATCCACAAATGGAGATACTGGCCAAAAATCGACATTAGGATCAAATTTGTAGATTTTCTACGGATGCCATTATATTACATTTTTTAACTAGAATCTGTAAATCTGTCTCTATTATTTTATACTTATAAATTGAAAAAAAAACAACTTTTCTTATAACCGTTGTGTATCTTTTTCCTTAAAGCTGGAATATGAGAAGTAACTCATTTTGTCAGCACACTTCACATATACACAATAATCTATAAAATACAACCCAACATCAACAATATGATACAAAAAAAATAATTCTACAATTAGGTACTGATATTTGATGACTTTGATATTTTAATGAGATTGCAAATGGAAACAATAACTCAGATGTTAGGCATATATATATATATATGTAAGTGTAAGTGGATACAAGGAGTACATCTGACCAGCAGACACACGCGCTTCAGTACAGTACAATAAATGTATAAAATATATATGGAATGTCCACTGACACCTGATGAACGAGACAATTTCGTTTTTAAAAAACTGCATAGTCAAAGGGGGGCTAAAAATATCAATACAAGATCTATATACACTCTGATACATTTACGACATTTCCGTTTTCAAGAGTCATGTCAATATTTATGTTTGTGTGTACATTTCATTTTCAGACGTGTGAGTCATGTGGCGTGCTTTACTTGACACATTTTAACCTCTTGGGGCTATAGTCAAGTAAAGGGATGGGACTTTTTTGGGACTTACATTTTGTCAGTTCATAAAATCTTACCTCTCTTTTTATTTAGTTCATGAAATCCTCTGTGACTTTACTATGTCATGCTATGTTTCTTCGCTTAGCCGAGATAATGCAAATAGATGTCGAGAGGTGCAAAAAATATAGTCTTCTTTTTCCTAACATGAACATCTCAGACAGATATTTCCAATGTGGTACAAACATTTTGTTGCAAGGTCAACACAATATATCGATTAATCATCACCATCTGAAGAAAATTGAAGAACTCTGTTTGACCCTGCCTTTTGAGGGTGAGTAACAAGAAATTATGCCACTCATTTTTCTTGCAACAAACGACAATATAAACTTCAATCAAAACTTCTCTGATCTTTTCATAAACAAAGTCAGGTTCCTTTAATGGTACAATCACTTTTTACACTTATTTAGATTTTAAAATATATCAAAATTGATTCACAGATTTATTAAAATAAATGCTAGTCTCCTGCACTTCCGAACCCAAGACACACTGTAAGGCACAAAGAAGTGTTTAATCTACATTTAATGTCAGTGATCCACTTGTCAATGGCTCACAATATTCACACAATACAATAGCCAACAATATATATATATATATCTTCCCTATTTGAAAGCACTATGCCAAGAAGTTTGGTCGATCTGAAAATGAAACAGCTGCAGTAATAATACTACCTAGAGGGACGTGTTATTTTCTGAATACTGCTAGCTCTGATAACATTTCTCATTTACATATGTACGTTATTGATATTTCTTAATCATCTAGATTCAGCATGGCTTTAAAAACATGCTGTGTGTGTGTGTGCGTGCGTGTGCGTGTGTATGTGTGTTTGTGAGTGAGGGGGTGTGTGTAAGAGTGTGAGTGCCTGTGCATGTGTGTGTTTGTGTGTGTGTGCTTGCATGTGCGTGAGTATTCACGAAGACAATTTAATCATCAACATCTACAAAATTAATAAATTTTTCTCTTTTGAACCATCACTGTGTGAGACTTTAAAAATTCTGAAAGGTTCATACCAACATGACCGAACATTTTCCCCACAGCAGTATTACCACACACATTGTAAATCTGTGGGACTGATAACTTTCTGAATCTTTATGACCTATGTGAAAGCTCATCTTTTCAATAGCGATGGGACTTTTATTTACAACATTTGGAAGATAATGAAAGTTTTATTTACCATTAGATACAAACGGGACTACGTTTTCTGAGTGCCACAATGGAGAGAGGCGACTGGATGAAGAACAAGGAATAAAATAAGAAGTTCAATATGAACACAATAAAAAATTCTGCAAAGCTATGTACAAGCCTTTTAGAAAAAGTAATGGTTCAGCCAAAATTAATTCATTGTTTCAGAAAGCAACATCCCTGCACTCCGGACATGTCCATTGATGCTCCGTTGCTCTCAGCCAAAAAACTGGTTTAAGGCAAACCGATCATTCAGTTTCAAATGCTCAGTGAACCATATTTCAGTCACCCATTGACTTTTTTAGATCACAAGGCTAATATAAAATGAAGGTAACTGTGCAATGTATGAAAAGAATTCACTTTATAATTACAAGTATAAACAGTAAAATAGAGCCCAAATGCAAGACCAGCTTCACAAAAGATGATAAAACTATTCACAAGTAAAACAAAATGTCGCTACACTTATTCCCGCAGTAAGTTTTTAGCGGTGCTACTGCACTTTCCCAAAATTTCCAAAACTTGTTACTGCCCTCAGCACTCAAATCCAAATATTCCACATTTCCCTGATCCACATGATAGAAGGCAAAAAAATTTGTATTTGTGGGACGGGAAAGAAGGCCTCTAAGTTTGAATTATTCTCTTTATGAGTTTGTGGTGTACTCATTACAAACGTGATACATCAAAATTCCTTTTTCCTTCACTCAATACGCATCCGAATAACAATGGACCCATTTCTCAGTCTCATCTTAACACATAGCTGCCCACCCCTCTCTGTGGTTATCAGGGACAGCCTTGCTCAAAATCAGGGACATTGACTAATTATCAGGGACACCTTGTATTTGTAAAGAAAAACTTGCTGCCTCTTCGGTTTCTTTGCTTTACTTGGTCCAGAGTGTGACTTAGAACTCATCGCAGAACGTTTTGACGCCACCTTTTCAAACGAATGAAGAAGCCGAGCGCCGTGCATGCGTATCAGCTGACGTTGTTGAAACTGCACACCTGCCAACTCTCCCGAATTTTTCGGGAATCTCCCGAATTTTCTTCATTTTCCCGAGCAACGGAAGGCTAATTTTTCTGTTTTAGAAGTATGCTTACCAAGTTTTTATTTTCCGGGACCGTCGGTCAAAATCCGTATTTCCTGGACCGGCGATTTTTCAAGAAAAAAAAATCCGTACAAAATACGGATGGCTATGTCTAAACATATTCAGACCTGCAAATATTTTAAGAATCAAATAAAAGTTGCTAACCTGCATATGTATTTGCTTAAAATGCCAAACACAACTTCTGCTTTGATGAATAAGTAAATTTTTAGCAGCAGGGAAGAAAGCTTTTTAAACAGTAGGTTTCTTGGAGTCTTAGTCCTTTCATAGCAACAAGATAATCTCAAGTCTGCTGTCAATGTGAAGTCGAAGCAAAATTATGAGAGGAAAAAGGCATCAACATTTACAGTTGTATAAAAATGTGAAAAACAACATCCCAGCAGACAGACAGAGATTTCAATAAAATACCTTCTCCATGCAGGAATCAAACCCACATCTTCTGCAAACAACAGATAAAAGCTTCGCCTTATACCACAGATGAACATCTAAAAAAGTGCATCACACAAAATAAGATTAGACAAACAGGAGAACCAAGCAGTTTTAGCAAAACATTTTTTGGAGCTATCTGTCCTTTCCCTCCATTCTCAAGAAACAAGTAGGCCTACACACAAGATATATTTACCAGCAAGCATAACACACATATAAAAACTTGCAATAACCTGAGATGTTCTAACAACTGAATCATAATCAGACTGAAGCTTTACGTCTATGACTTGTCAAACGACATAAAGTAGTTACATATTTCATATGTCTTGTTCTATCATTCAAGCAGAAAAGTACGGGGAAAAAATGTGTATACATACATACATATATATATTTATATAAACAGTGGTGTCTGCTTAAACCAAAACCTGCAGAACCGCTGGGTTTCCTTTGGTTTAGCCAGAGGTTCGATTGAGGAAAGGGTTGCTTAAATAGCGATGATTGTGGACTGCATAAAGGTGAGAATACCATGCTTGCGGCAAATTTCATTTTTTGGAAAATCAAGAAATTCTCATTTAGGCTACCTCTTTCATTAACTGCAGTTTGAGCTGCAGGCTGTACGCATAGTGTTTTCTCTTCAACATTGTCAGCTCGCTTACCTTGCCAAACACTTACATAAAGCAAATGAAAGCATAGACAGAGAAGTGAAGATGAAAGCCCAATACCAGTGACGTCATGAACCACACCAGGTCCCATTATGTGCTCATGTGTACTATCTATGTGAACTAGCTTTGCAGAGGCAATAGGCCATGACCAACCAAGAGTTGTGCGACAGATGCAAACTGTCTGTCCTTGGGTCACTAGCTCTATACGCAGAGTGTAGGCCTATTGATGTGTATGTGTGATAAACATAGGCAAACACAGTCGGCACAAAGGCATTCTTGTGTCTCTTTCTTCTGTTTCCCTATCTTGAAGTGCATCAAACTTGATGGTTTGTGTAACTTATGGGTTGCAAGTGAAGATTTAGATGACAAAACCGTTGAAATTCTTTGGTTTAGAAATGGGAGCATTTAGGTAAACAGTAGTTTTCTTTCAATGACAAAAGTAAAAAACAGGAATTTTTTTTTTTATTTTATTTTTTTTGGATTTACGGCCGTTCTTGGATAAATCATGTTTGGTTTAAGCAGATTCCACTGTATATATGAATATATCGCCCTCTTATCACCGTTTATAGAGAGGGGGAAAAAAGGCACAAGATCTCGCACACATGTGCTTAAAAATAAATTTAGTTAGAGAAATGCACATCAACCAGCTTGTACATATCATATATTCATATTTTTGTGCTTTCACAATTTACACAATTTTCTATAAGGCAAAAAAAATCAGCGCTCTTTGTCAGATTTACATATAAATTGAGCGACTGTACAGGAAAGTGGAAAAGGCTTCACTTTATATTTGGCAATTTTAGAGAGGGAAATGTTTGCCCTAGAAACATTGATATACAAAGCAGCTTCCTCTTTCGAATCAATAATGGCATTTGTAGAGGGACATTATCCAGAAAAGAACGAAAATCCGAAATGAGTCTTCAGACTTTGAAATCAATATCACTTTGATTTTGAGGTTTTTTTCGTTTTATTTGTTTCAAGAAAAGAAAAATATTAGATCACAACGATGTAGTGTAAATAAAATACAAGCATATTAAGTTTTGACAGAACAAATCCCATAGTATAAAAATATATGTTGGTTTATACACACATACACACATACACACACACACAGGCACATACACACAAAAACACATACACACAAACATACACAGACACACATCTGTAATTATAATATATATATTAAGAAATCTGAGTTCAAGGAAAATATTCGAGACCGAAGAAAGACTGATGTTAAACTATTTACAAGGAGAAAAGTCTGAGAAGTACATATTGATGGTGTTAAGCTCTATGTAACTAGAAAAAATAGTTATACTGAGTTGGGGTGTTTTTTTCTAAAACTGCTTCCAAGGTCCATCTGCGGAGCCTCAACAAAAATCTTTTTTCAGGACATGGCTAGACATTCATCATTATTTATTTCGTTAAGAATTTTAACTTTTAAAAATTTATTTTGAGAAGGGAACGTCTTTTATTTTTTGCTTGTGGACACCTATTCAAGAAACCAGATACACAGTTACAGTATAACATCATCGATATACACGGCACAGGGGAGATTATGAGTCATCCTCATCCATCTCAAAATCTTCTATCATAACTGTGGGCAGCACAGGGCCTGAGACCAGGCAGGTGTCCAGTGTGGTCATGGTCCGACTCAGCCTCTCTATACTCTCCTGCAGGGTGCATGGTCTCTTGGGTCCCCCATCACTGTTGGAATTTGCTTCACCGTTTTCCCCACCTGCGACCGCTCCCTCTTCCTCCGTGAAATCGTAATAATCCCAGATGGGTGTTTCTGGTCGTGACACTGGTGTGGAAGAAGGCTCCAGATCGGCAGACGCTCCAGTTACGCTAAGTTTTCCGACAGACGTCATCAACTCTGAAGAAATCTCGTCTTCTTCATTATTTTCACTCTCTGCACAGACGCTCTGTGTTTCTATTTCATCCTTTTTCTGCTGTGTGGAGATTTTAGTTGACATATTGATATTATCAGGCACATCATTATTATTGGTAACAGCGAGACCATCACTGTTCTTAAGAAGTTGGGGTCCGCATTCCTTGTCACTTGCAATGTCATCGGAAACACAGCCGTTATATGTAGCTGGCTCTGAGCTGTCAGATACGTCGGTGACCTTCACCTGAGGAACGGAGGCAGAGTCTGAGGCTTTGACATCCAAGTCCAGCTCATTAGGAATAATTCTCTTCTTTCTCTTAGGAGTGTCTTCCTGAATCTTTTCACTACCTGCGTCCTTCACTGAGCTCAACTTTTCATTCTTATCCACATCTATGATCACATTACCCGCAACACTGTCCATATCCACAACCGTGTGCTTTAGATCCTCTTCCACATTAACTATAGCAGAGTCAACATTCGCACTATCCTTGTGAGGCCCATTTTGGGGGGCAGGCTCTGATGTCTTTTTCAAGAACTCATTGGGAATTATTCTTTTCTTTTTTCCAGACGTCCCTGAGTCTATATCTATTGCCACTTGGGCACTTTTCGGTGTCTCATGACTTACAACAGCCTTGAGGTCACCCTCTGAATCGTTGTCATTGTCTGTATTGACAGAGGTCAAATCAACCGCAACTGTCGATGATCCTGGACTTTTTCCAGAGCTTGTCTTTATTTCAAAGCTGCTTCCAATGCCGTCATCGTCATCCTCATCATCGTCGTCATCATCTAAGCTGCTACCTACGGAAATAAATTTTCTGATGAGGTTTTCCACCTCCACATCTTCCAAGTCCTCGTTCCGAGGAGTGACCGTGGAATCCCCTCCCGATTGCGAAGAATTTGACCTTGACAGGGACTGCTTAGAACTCTCCACAATAATATCTCTGGCGTTATAAACTCGCATGCTGTTGGGGATGGTCACGTTCATGCATGGAATCAGCGCGTAACGTTCCCGAATGGGTCTGCGAACTGCAGTTCGTAATGGCATATGAACCATGGCCATGAGGAAGAATTTTCCGGAGTGTTTTTGGGTCATGCACACTTCCAGTCGCAGACTGCGCTCCTTCACAATGTCTGGTGTCACGCCAGTGTACAGAAGGGGTGTGTTAAACCTGGGGAACAACAGCAAATAATGGAACAAGAGTTGATTCATTTGTGAAGCATCATAGTGTAATGAAGTGCTCGTCAAAATAATGAAACCACAGAAAACAGCATTTTTCCATACGTTTGGCAATTTTTATCGATTTTTCTTTTTTGGATCAACACCTTTTATGTCCATTTAAAACACATTTCTGTGTGGATTTTATAAGAAAGGGCTGAAAGCACAAAAATTAAAATCTGCAAGTCTCCAGAGACTCTCAAGCTTTGAAGTCACCAAACTTTCGCCGCCATTTTCTGGCTAATTTTACCTCTGCTACTATGTGACTCCCTCCTTCTTTAAACGCAAAAAACTCGACTTTTAAGATACATGAGTATTTTTATCATCAAAAGCAAGTCATATGAACAAGCTTTAACATGGCATCAATATCTCCATATGCCCAAAGATTGACAAGCACCTGATTCCTCCGCATCATGACACATTTCGATTCGGAACAGTTTGACAAGGTTTGCTTGGTTTTACAAAGCTGTTCTTATTCTACGATAAAAACAAAATCAGTTAAATTCGACCGGAAGTCCTGACTCTATAATGAAGACTCAAGTCAATATTCCATTTTTTTTGTCAAAAAAAATTGTTTGCTAGTGGTTTGGTTAATCGTGATGTGATTCCACACCCTGTCAGGCTGAAACAGATTGTCTTGAAGGTGGAGTACCCTTGTGGTTAGAGTAAAGATGGAAGAATGACAGTAGACCAAGACAGAAGACAAAAAAGGAAGACAAAAGCAGATAGACTGAAAGAAAAGAAATAAATTTTAAAAAACAGGCCAACAGAAAATCAAAATTAAATGACAAATTTGTTCCACAGCGTATGAGAATGAAATTTTTAAAAGAGAGAGAGAGGGAGGGAGGGGAATGAGAAAGATTCAAAGAGAACAGTCACAATGTGAGAGGAGTAAGAGAGAGAGAGGGGTTGAGACAGAGAGAGAGAGGGAAAGGGAGAGAGAGAAAGAGAGAGAGAGGGAGGGAGGGGAATGAGAAAGACTCAAAGAGAGACAGAGAGAGACAGTCACAATGTCAGAGGAGTAAGAGAGAGAGAGAGAGAGAGAGAGAGAGAGGGGGGGGCGGGGGGTGGGACAAAGAGAGGAGAGGGAGAGGGAGAGAAAGAGAGAGAGAATAAAAAGAGTGGGGAAGAGAGAGAGAGAGAAAGCAAGAGAGAAGAGAAGGGAGGGATATACAGAAAGAAATAGAAATTTAAAAAATATGAGAGAAACAGAGAAAGTCAGAGAAAATAAGAGGAAGTATAGAGTATGCAGGGAGAGCTGTAAGTCTAAGGAGCATTATAGTTTGGGAGGAAGGGTGGAGTAAGGGGTAGGGCTGTTGACCTACAGGAAGGGTGCTCATTTCTCATGGCAAAGAACCTGGTTCAAATCCCAGTCTTTTCACATCTGTATGGCAAAGATTCAAATAATTACACTACAAACGCTAGCTTGGTCCTTTTTTTTCTTCAAGTTCCAAATCTGAAACAAATATTCGAAGTCATGGTTCACCACTTATTTCTAAGCTCGGATACTCTCAAAAACGTATATTATACAAGTAATTACCTGTCATCAATCTGTTCAACTTTTCATTATGTTTTTCTTGGTCTAATTCTGTCTATTTTCCCTTCCATTTTCCCAGAGAGAATGGCCAGTGAAATGCACTTGTCTCTTCTCAATTGTTTTAATTAGTGACCATTCCATGCAGGTTTTTTCACTCCTTCCAACAATTACTCCTTCCATGAAAATCTCAACAAGTCTCCTAACCTTACCTAAAAGAGGATGGAGTGAAGATGTGCTGTATTCCTTCGATACCCAGCGGCCCTGAGTTCTTCCTACCAAAAGATGACCCCTCCACTGGGACGTCCTCTGTCTTTCTGTTGGTCTTCTTGACCGGGTCTGGGATGAGGTAGCTACGTACAAAAATCGACTCAATCATGGAGATCTGAGCTGTAGAGGAAGATGAGATGAAGAAAAATGCTATGCAAATGTTGACCATATTATGCTTCCAACAGATTCAGAAACATGCATATAATATAATAACACATTATAAGTATACAGTCTTTTCACAGCGTACTTCGTATGTCTTTCGTTTTATTTTTCTCTTTTACTTTCTCTGTTTCTCTCTCATATTTTCTCTCTTTCTATTTTACTCTTCCTCTTTGCCTCTGCCTTCCCTATCTATTTCTCTCTCTCTCTCCCCCTCTTCCTAAGGAGGCCAGAAACTCTTCCATTCTGAAAAAACCTTTGAGCCTACAGTACATAAAACATGTGTTGTTTGTGGGGTGTAGAATGAAAGATAGGAGAAAAGACAGACAGACAGACAGACAGACAGACAGACAGACAGGCAGACAGACAGACAGACAGACAGACAGACAGACAGACAGACAGACAGACAGACAGGCAGACAGGCAGACAGTCAGACAGACAGACAGACAGACAGACAGACAGACAGGCAGACAGGCAGACAGTCAGACAGACAGACAGACAGACAGACAGACAGAACAGGGCACTTTGGTAAAACTTACGTGGCGGCAGGAGTAGGTCGCTGATCTGCCATACCCGCACCTTGAGGTTACTCTGGTGGTACTCAAAGGACAGGTGAAGGTCTCCGATAGCTGCGCAGGACAACAGGGGAATACATGGTATGAACATACATGACACAGTAACTGTTGTGGTGTGGTGCTTCATACAACATAGAAATTATACATTCATGTATAGGTAGGTAGGTAGGTAGGTAGGTAGGTAGGTAGGAAGGTAGGAAGGTAGGTAGGGAGGTAGGTAGATAGGTAGGGAGGTGGGTAGATGGGTAGGGAAGGAGGGAAGTAGGTAGGTGGACATTCAGGTACAGATCAAAAGAAACAAAGTAACCGACAAGGGGAGATGGGGAAGATGCAAGTAGAAAGTGGGGTGGGGAGGGGGCGTCAAACAAAAGAGAGAGAGAGA